TTTATTTAATTAAAATTTAATTTAAAATTTAAAAATATATCTTATTAAATATTGATATTTAAATTTAAAAACTAATTAAATTTTTAAATTTTGAATTGAAATTTAATTTCTAAATCTAGATTAAAATTTTAATTTTTTTTGGAATCAATACTAATCTCATAAATAATAATTAAAATTTTTTATTTTTTATATAGTTTTTATTAAATATTTTTATTTAATAAAAATTTTAATTATTGTCCATATGAATTATTTTATTTTTATTTAAAATTTAATTTTTAAAAATTAAAATAAATTTACTAGAAATGAATTAAGAACGTACTATACCTTATTATAAAAAGATTTACTTAATTATTTATTTATTTTTGAGTTCCGACTGCTAAAAAATAAATACCATATATAACAAAACCACAACTTAAGTTGTGATTCTTCTTTCCCTTGCGTACTAATATGGAACTGAAAAAGCTATTCTCATAATTTTACAGCCTAAGAACAGCCCCAGTGACAGCCCACTTCCTTTTGTGGCAAACTCAAATAAAATCCTCTCCTAGGACCAGATTCCATCATGTCCCATCCCAATCTCAAATCAGGCACTGGTGTCCTCAGGATAAAGTATTGCATTCTAGTTGAATTCTTATTGTGCACGCATGAAATTAATACAGTGCAGGCCACTCATTGAAAATCTGGTTCTGAACTTCCTCTCGTTAGTTCTGTTTGTTTCTTGGGAAAATTGATATCACGTAAAAAACCATTAATTATGCGCATGCGGTCATTTTGTGGTGGGCACCTATGTAGTACCTCGTAGCAGCGTTTTTCGCAAGGAATTTCAGGTGCGTACTAGTAAGCATTACTACAAGGAAATGGGTTAACTGTGATAGAAAAATTAGTCATAAAAATTGAATTTTTTGGTCACAAATTATATTTGTATCTAAAATTTGGTTGGTCACTGTCCGTTATAAATATTGAGTCATTAAAAGTAATAGTAACTAATTTTGGATTCGTAACAACAAATCATGATTTTAGTTACGGTGAAGATGGACATAATTACTATTGTATTTGTAATGAATTTTTGCGTCACAATGATGACTATTTGTGATAAAATAATTAGACACAAAAAGGAACCTCATTTGTAACATGTATAACTCGTCACAAAAGAAATTGTTTGTGACATAAAATTTGGTTACTAATATTAAATCATTTGTGACGTTTCCTTTTAATCACAACTAGAATTATCTGTGACTAAAAAAAATGAAACAAATACTACAATGTTGGTCACAATTAGGATTATTTGTGACCCAAAAACTTGTTACAACTATTATTATCAATGACAAAACAAAAATGTCACAAATTGAATGTGTGACAAAATTTTTAGTCTT